AGCATTTCTTGCAGGACATATCTAATGGAAACAAACTTCATCACCTAGTGTTTATTTGAAGTATCTTGATTTCTTCCTCACTTTTGAAAGAAAACTTTTCCGAAGAGGATTATTGGTTGATGGTTTTTTCTTTTAGCATTTTGAATATATTGGCCCACTGTCTTCTAGCCGCCAAGATTTCTGATGAGAAATCTGCTCATAAGTTATTGAAGATCCCTTGAATGTGATGATTTGCTTCTTTCTTGCTACTCTCTTTATTCTTGGTTTTTGAAAATTTGGGTCTCAGTGTGGCCCTCTTTGAATTCCTTTTATTTGGAGTTAGTTGAGCTTCTTAAATGTTTATATTCATGTCTTTCATCAAGTTTGGGGCATTTTTAGCCATTATTTCTTCAAATATTCTCTCCTCCCCCTTTCCTGTTGCTTTCCCTTGTCCCTTGGTGCATACATTGTCCTTTTGGTCATGTCCCACTGGTCCCTGAGGGTCTGTTTGCTTTTCTTCAGTGTTTTCCTGTTCCTCAGTCTCAGTTTTCATTGTCTTATCTTCATATTCATTGATTCTTTCTTCTGCCTGCTCAAATCTGCCTTTGAATCCCTCTAGTGAATTTTTCATTTCTGTTGTACTTTACAGCTTCAGAATTTCTTATTGTTTTCTTTCTAAGTTTTCTGTCTTTTTACTGATGTTTCCATTTTGTTCACACATTGTTTTCTTAACTTTCTCCATATCTTCCTTTATTTCTTTGAGCATCTTTACAATCTCTGTTTTAAAGTCTTTGTCTGCTTTATCTGCCATTAAGTGTTTTTCAGGGACAAATTCTTTTGAATTTTTTTTCTTTGAATGGGCCATACTTTTCTGGTTTTTGTATGCCTTGTGATACTTTGTTGAACGCTGGACATTGTAATTTAACAATGGTAACTCTGGAAATCATATTCTCTCCCCTCCCCCAGTGTTTGCACTTTTTTGTTATTGTTTTGGATTGTTTTGTTGTTGTAGGCTGTCTGTGCTGAGGGCCAGCTTGAAATGTTATCTTAATGCCTAAGGATGTCTTATCTGAGCCTTTCCTTGGTATGTGCAGTCATTTTCAAATTTTCCCTGTGTATCTAGTTTGGTTTTTAATGCCCTAGTCTTTAATCTCTGACTCCTGAAAAGGAAAAGGCAAAAATGATGGGAAGCAAAGAGTGAGAGCTCTTTACCTCCAGCCAGAGGGGAGGGGCTTGCAACAGTGGGGGGAGGGGCAACAATAGCTGCCACCTCTTTGTCTGCATCTCTGTGACCAGAAGCAGCAATCAGCAATTGGAGCACAGGCACCCATATTTGGGGAACAGAGTCCTTTTAGCCCACCCTTGCTCCCCTAAGTTGTTTGCAGGCTTCTCCAAAAACGTGCACAGCTGCCTGCCATGTTATTGGAGTAGAGCATGGGTGGCTACTCCTGTGCTAAGAGCTGAAATTGCCCAAAATTTACTGTAATTTATGTTTGGGCTTTCTCCATGAAGTTGCAAGCCTTTAGCAGTCTCCAGAGTTCCAGAAAAGTTGTATCAGATTCTACCAGTGCAATTGCTGCCTGGTTGGGGAAATAGATTCCTGGTACTTCCTGCTCTGCCATCTTCCTTGAATCCTAGATCATTGAGTTTTAAACTCATGTCTTGTGTAAATTTCCTTTAAACGAGAGAAAGCTTCTTGTGAACATCTGATATTGGACAAAAAAAATGTATGCTGTAAGATAAATTTGCAAATAATAAATTAAGTTAAAATTACCACTGTGAATGAGAAAGTGCAGGCTGTCCTTTTATTTTTGTGGTAAATTATACATAACATAAAACTTACCATTTTAACCCTTTTAAAGTATATGGTTTAGCTTACATTGTTGCGCAACTATCACCATTATCCATTTCTAAAACTATTTCATTGCCTCAAAGTGAAACTGTGTACCCATTAAATAGTAGCTCCCCATTTTCCCCTTTCTCATGCTTGTGTTCTGCGTATCTATCTTTAATGTGATGACTTAGTTCTCTTATTAGTTTGCTCTATTGGAAATACCTTGAAATTTTCATTCATAGTTTGCTGTGACATTGTTTAGTATTTACTTGGAAGGAACTCATTAATACGAGATAATCTCTTTTCTTTTTTTCATTAGCTTTATCTGTTTAAGTTTTTAAAAGTCAATTCATGATAACAAATAGATAAGAGTATGTTGTATCTAAATGTCCGTTGACAGATGACTAGATAAAGAAGTTGTGGTATGTCAGTACAATGGAATACTACTCAGCCATAAAAAAGAATAAAATAATATCATTTGTTGCAACATGGTTGGACCTAGAGATCATCATTCTAAGGGAAGTAAGCCAGAAAGAGAAAGAAAAATACCATGTGATATCACTCATATGTGGAAGATAAAAAAGGAAGAAAAAAAAGGACACAGTGAACTCATGTACAAAACAGAAACAGACTCATAGACATAGTAAACAATCTTATGGTTACCAGGGAAAGGGAGTGAGAAGGGATAAATTTGGGAGTTTGAGATTTACAAATGTTAACCACTATATATAAAAACAGATTTTAAAAAAAGTTTCTTCTGTATAGCACAGGGAATTGGATTCAATATCTTGTAGCAACCTTTAATGAAAAAGAATATAAAAACGAATATATATATATATGTATATGCATGGCTGAGACATTATGCTGTACACCAGAAATTGACACATTGTAATTGTACTTCAATTAAAAAAAAAAGATTGTGTTGTAGTCTCTCAGATGACACAGAATATATACTTACAGTGATATTTTAAATTAGCATTAAAACAAAGGTTAAAAAATTTCTACAGACTTTATACAAGTTTTGGATTCCCAATGTGAAGAATAGAAGTTAGGCTGTTTTTTATAGACATAGTATAAGGTCATAAGAACATAGGCTAATGTAGTGGAATTAGAAATAGAGAAGGAGGAAGAGCTATTGAGGGGGCATAAAAGATGACCTTAGATCCAGGTGTGAGAGGAATAACAGAGCCAAGGATGATCCCTGAGAAATGGAGCCTGCTATTTCAAGGGGCAGATTTTATCATTAACAAAAGTGAGGAAATTTATAGAGGAAAAGCTAATTTGAGGAAAAAAACATTTGATAGTTTATCAAGTTAAATCTACCTTGCAGGAAGAAGAGATGTGATTAGAGGTGTGCATTAGGAGTTACTGGCTTAAAAGAACTGAGGGTAATCATTAACCATTCATCTGGAATAAAAAAAAATGCATGTTTAGAACAGCAGAAGCAAGAGTGTTAGGGTTTTCTTCTGATGTTGGAGAAAAGAAGCAGGGATAGTGGAGGACCCAAGATGTCAAATGAGAATCAGGATAATCATGCCCATAATACAAGGAAGGCATGGTTTAAGATAGTAGAA